GAGATAGTGAGTTGTGGAGAGTGGTGGGGTTTGACAGTTAAGCACAGAAGGTCAGTGAAGGCTGGGGGGTGGTATGTGGGGGAAACACCAGCCCTAGAAAGCACCACAGGGTCACCATGGGGCCCATTTTATCAGCCAAAAGCACCTAGAAGAGTTGAGAGTGGTTAAAGAAATCTATTCTGTGCCTTGCTTTCTTTCTGCCCGCCTGTCCTTGCTGCTAACATGTCATACCCTGTTGCCTGGAAATCAGTCTACACTGTGGCTCTGTTTGTGGGAGATTCGGCCCGTTGTGATTCTGTTTGCCAGATTTTCTATCTATGGTGTGGCTTTGGGTAAAATTCTCCTCATTCCATGGTGGTCTATGGAATTTTGTTCCTGTGATGGCTTTGTTTATGTGAGAGTCTGTCCATGTCATGGCTACCTGGGGGATCTTCTCTTCATGCACTGGCTCTGCCAGTGTGAGAATATTTCCATCATGCTGTGGCTCTGTGTGGATGGCACTCTGCATGTGCTGTGGCTCTGTGAGTGATAGCCTAGCCACGTCATGGGTGATATCCTTTCCACATCATGCCACTTCTCCCCTTCATGATCCTTTTCCATATGTCCTATAAGAGGAGGAAGTAATAGTTTAAAAGATACAGAAGAAAGCAAGTAACAATTTCATCTTGAGTTTATTTTGTAATATTATACTATGTAGGCTCTGGGTGGGGAGGGGTAAAGAGAAAGTTCTGCCTAAGCGTAGGAAAGGGAGGGAAACCTTGCAGGCAATGTGAGGCTCTTTGCAGATTTATCACCAATGCCACAGTTCAGAGTGGAAGCTTTGAACACCCCCGGGGAAGGCTTGAGGCATGGAAATGTGTCAAAAGAGGCTGCAGACCTATGGCCCCTTTGGCCAAATCCCACGGATGTGTTTTGTTTGGCTCACATAGCATTTGAAAAATATTCAAATTAGCTTAAAACATAGGTGTTTCCATAATAAATCCCCTAGTTTCCAGCTTTTCTTGAGAGATCAGGAAAACTAGTGTCCAGGTTGGCATTTAGTGCTGGAGTGTTCCTCTCACCTGTCCCTAGCAGCTGTGTGTGTGTGTGTGTGTGTGTTGTAAGAGAGAGGGCGGAGGAGAGGAGAGAACATCTATCTTAAAAACAAAGCACAGCACACGTGTAAAGAATGGATTCTCAGCTACACAGAGGCCTGTGGGCAGGTGGGCCTTTGGGAAGAGGCGCTTCGTGGTAATCCATGGACACAGAAGGGAATTTCTCAGCCTCCTCCTATGATAGCTGAAACCATTTCTTTCTTTAAAAAATTTATAATGTGTTTTTAAAAATTATTATTATTATTTTACAAGATCCGTGCCGTCTGCGTGGTGCTTTATAGGGCGTATCTGGCTACAGCTGGAGCACTTCTGGGTGTTTTATGGCAAATTATTCTCAGATTACCCTTTAATGCAGGAAGGGCTGCCTGTTGTCTGAGCTCCTTGGGTCATACAGAAAACCCTCAGACTTGATACAAAACAGCTGCCTCGGTCAGCTGTTCCAAAAAAGGAGCATTTTTAGGCTGAAGCAGCAGGAAAAAAGTTTTTGTAGCTGGTGGAGATTTTGAAAAATGCTAAATTACTCTTTCCTTGCCATTAAAATGTGATTTAATTTTGTTGCTAACAAATTGTGTAAATCTAAAAAACAAGTGCTCCGAAGCGGAGTTTGTTAAGTGTGTTCTGGCAATACTTACAGTATGTCCTGAGGGGACAGTCCCCAGGGAGGGCAGCACAAAATTCCCGCTGACCCTCAAGTCCCTGGGCCTCAGCCCGGCTGGGCCGGGGTCAGGGGGCCAACCCACAGGCCTCCCTCCCCTCTCTCCTCTGGGCCCCTGCTGAGATCAGCAACAAAGAGGTCAATTGTCTGAGGCCTCCCTTTGGCTGAGGGACTATGGGCCTCTCTGGATGCCAAAGTGTATCCATGCGCATGGATAAGTATGCAGATGCATATCTTTCTGAGTGTGTGTATGTATACACAGGTGCACAAGTGGTGGTTCGTGCCTATGGGTACACATGAGCATGTGTGCAAGCCCATGTATGTATGTATGTGCACACACATACGTGTATGACAAGAATATGCACACCTGAGCGTGGATGTGTGTATCTGTAAGCACACTGTGTGTATCTGCAGGGTGTGTACCGTGCACACATGCATAAGTGTGCCTAAGGAGGAGGAGGTGTGCACATGTGTGAGTGTGTGCACCTGTGTGTGGTACATGTGTGTACGTGTATGCGGCTCGCTGGAAGTACTTTTGTGTTGCTGATGCATCTGAGCAGGGCGAGAGACCTCAGAGAGGAAGGGTTGGCCAATGTAGTTCCTAAGGCAAGGAAGGAAGTCCTCCGGTTCATCTCAGAGCAGGTTATGCGGTTGCCTTTGTCTGGTGTCTGCTATGGCACAGAAAGCTCAGAGATGCCTCCCTTCCTTGCTTTCTCAGAAGGAATGAGGTGGAGCCAGCATAAAGATCTGCACATAGCTCATTAGCTAACTTTGCTTCAATAGCCTATTCTGAACTGGGGCTTCAAAGTAAGACCCACAAGCCCTTTCCTACATTGTTCCAGCCCTTTTTCAGAGCTGCCCAGTTGGATCCAGTGCATTCTGTGTGGCATCTGAGCCATGTTTCCAGAATGTGAAATATGCTGTTACTTCCCACCCCATAGTTGGTTCCCATGTAGCCCCAGGGCCTTTGCATGACCCATTTGTCTTGGCCCCTAGTATAGCTTGTTCACACAGAGGCCTACAGGGAGCAGTGGCTGGTCTGGCCTTTAGTACAAGCTCTCCTGCCTGCTGGAGGTGCCATGATTCACACTCTCTTCCCTAACAAGTTATCCTTTTAAAAATGCTAATAAAACCCATTTGATTCAGAAGCCAGGGAAAGAGGAATAAAAATACTTCATAGAAATTCACCTTCATAAAAGATTTATCTTCTACCCCCTTTAACCAGCACAGCTGCCACTGAATTTTTTCTGCTTCTCTCGGTTCTGCCCCTCCCCCCTCTGTTTCCTCTCTGTACTCCAGCAAGGGCTTATCTTTCAACTGTGGAAAAGCCAACAATTAAACTGTACTCCAAAGCTTATCAAAATATTCAGTTGGTAAAATTATCTTATAATTAGCCAAACTGTAAGCCAGAACTTTTTAACCCCAGGAAATGTAAAATGACCCAGCATGTGAAATCTGCAAATTGCTCATCCTGACCTTCTTGGCTACAGTTTCTGTTTTTATTTTTTTTCCCAAAGCAATTTCCTCCTTGTTCTTTACATTCTTGATAGTCCCCAAGGTGTCTTTCTCTCCTGCCTGTGTAAGTCATGATGTAAATATACGGCCAGTTTAGTTGAGATAGATAATTGAATAGATGCAGGTGAGATATGACATCAACTTGATTTCTTTTGTATTTCATTCCTGCGCTTTGAAATATTCTTTTCACAAACTGAGGCCTATTTCCTTGGATTCCTGGTGGCTCAAAATCATTGGTTCTGTATTTCAGATACCTGCAGTGGTGACTGAATGATCCTGGATCTGAGTTATTCCACAATATTCAGAGGACTCTGTGTTCCATCCCGCTGGGCAGAGGCACTGGGCTTTCTTATCACAACGGCTTCACTTTGCATCATTCTTACTCAAGTTTCTTCCCCTGCCTTCCCGTCCTCCCACTGCCTGGGGTCCCTCTTGCCGTCTTGCATCACCCAGGGCAGCACCACAAATGTCGTTCTCCACACTCTGGCCCTGTTGAGAGACACAGTGCTAAGCAAATCACGAGTGATCCTGGGGATCTGAAGGTGCAACTTAGACATCTTCACAAAAATGACACAGGTGCTTAGGTTCTTAACTACTGTGAGTTTCTAAGTGAGTAACGGCATTGTTCGGCACAAGCCAATTCATAAGACTTACATAGCTGTGTAAGTTGGACGCTCACTGTTGCTTTTTAGTGATGACTTTTTAGGTGATGAACTCACAGTCCTCCTGCCTCAGATATGACAGTCATGTGCCATCATGCCTGCCTGGTGAAACATTATCACAGTTGTAAAAACAAATTGAATAATTAAATTTTGGAATGCACCAACATTTTCATAAATGGGGTATTGCCTATATTTAGTGCTAGCAATGGCAGCTATTTGTACAGTTTTTCCTATCTGTAGGCATAAACACGTAGGTATAGAAATAGTGCTTCATCTGTACATTCCTCTTGGGAGAAAATAATGATTTTGCTCATTATTGGGAAAATTGAGGCTCTGAAAGTCTCAGTAATTTACATGTGCAGCCGGACTTGGCTGGCCTGACTCAGCTGGCCTGACTCTTTTGTAAACCATGATTGACCTGTGTGAACAGGCTGAGGCTCGGCCTTATGGTTTGACCCCATGTATGCTTGAAAGGTTTCCACGACACCCCTGCAGGAAAAAAGCAAATCACAGCTTCACCATGAATCACTGTCCAGCTGCTGCTGTGCCTGGCACTTGTGTGCATGACATCTTGATGTCACATTTGCTGTTTCTTTGGTGTCCTCAGAGCTGAGACCTGCTGGCCCTGAGTTGTTGGCCCACACGGCCCATCTTCTTGGTGACCTGGCTCCACTCAGTGTTCCTGGGGTAGAGGAAGTGAGGGGACGCCACTCAGGGCTTTGCTGTCCTAATGCCAGACCTTGAAATCAGCCATACTGATGTCCTGTCCTCCCTCTGCTCTTTCAGGGCTAAAAGAGTCCCATTCTGGAAGTCTTTCTTGATGAAGTACATGTCCTGTTTAATCCACAATGAAATAGCTTAGGCCTCTTTAAGACCATTCCAAAATATAGTACTCTTTTAAAAGTAAAGTTGAAATGAAAGATCTATCATTAAGTGTGTTATTTATGAAGCGTTAGTAACAAGGTACTTTAGGAAATGTTTAAAAATAATTGACCATATTACGTTAATGTTCTTGTGAATTCAGCATGTTTTTGACATTGTTTAATTGGTGTTTCTTTCTTTTCTTGATTATAGCTTGGGTTGAAGATAGCCATTTGCTATAGCCACAGGTAAAACTGTGTGTGTGTGTGTGTGTGTGTGTGTGTGTGTGTGTATGTTTTAAAGAAATGTACTTATTGGGCTGCAGTTTATTGCTTGTTCTAATCCTGAGGTTTCTGAGCTTACTTTTGATGGCGCAGATGAAATTGTCCTAGTTACTTAATTGGTAAGAGCAAATTACTCTTTGGAGGAAGAAAGCTTTTACATGAAAATGTGGTAGGTAGAACATTTCTGTTGAATCACAAAAATGGGAAGCTCTGTAGCAAGGACACAGATGTGGCTTCTGGGTAGAATAATCTGCCTAGAGTGAGAACTGAAATGTCCTGTATGGGAGACGAGACCAGGCATGTTTGTGAAGCCCTTCGTCCCATCTCCAGGGCTTCGTCTTTCTGTCTTAGTGCATCTGACAGTGGCAAAAGCCCCTATTTTTGTTTTCCATAGGATTTCTGCCTTGTTCTTGATTTCAAGTTCAGGAAAAAGTACTTTTTTCCTACACTATCAATGCAATCTTACAGTTTGGCTAATTATAAGATAATTTTACCAACTGAAGAAAAAGTACTTTTTTCCTATAGTATCAATGCAATCTTACACTGCCGGTGCTTATTTCTATAACCAACCCTTTTTAGTCTGCATACATCAAATGCTGTTGAGTTAATTTAAGCAAAACTCAGCCCCAGTAGAGTGATGATAAGCAATGTCCCCGGCCCCTATACAGACTGCATTCACAGTCTCCCTGAAGTGCCACCCTAGTGTAAAAGACTTGGGGTTCAGGGACTTTTAGTCTGCGTTCCATAAACAACACAGAGAGTCATCCAATTTCAAAACAAAGTTGCCTCCTAAAAATGCCTGCAACAAGTTGGATGTATGGTTTCCATTTAAATGTGAATTGGGCAACTACAGGCAATCCCTGTGACCTAGAAATCTGCTGGGAAGCTGTATAGCTATGAACAGAGAGAAGGCAGGAGTGGGTTTGAACCCCTTTGTAAGCATGCATGGGAAGAAAAATGGTCATGTTGGACATTTCTGCGGCCTGTGGAAGAAGGCCATGTAAACCAGTGTATTACATGTAAGTTTTTCACGACCCAGGAGCCTTCCTAAGGAAATGGCAACCACAGAGAGGTCTGCCTGGGTGACGTGGGTATAACCTAATGGTAATAAACTGTGAGGGGCTTAGCTTGGCTTTTGTGCCTGATTCTTCTCCGTGCTCTTGTGTCTTCAGAGATTATAATGTTTCTTTGCATGTCAGGAGTATATCTCTCCAATGACAGTTTTATAATCTGCTTCAGGGAAGAAGGGTGACCTTCCTTTTCTGTCATTTTCTTAAATGCCAGGCCACCATGGTTTAGGGGAGTGAGTCCAGAGCCCCATCCACTGCTTGTAAGTGTGTGAATCCTGTGTGTCCACCGTGTGTGCACACAGCAGAGCACAGTGACCTGCAGAAACATGGTGGCCCCTGTTGGTACGGCCAGCCTGCTGCAACTACTGTGCTCTTAGCAAACACGGTGTGGGACTGAGCCCTGAACCTAAAGCTGACTGGGTACAGGGTTATTGGTGTTGAGTCAGGGACAGGGGTTGAGAATGTTCTTCCAAAAGGAGCCTCTTTTTCTAAATGTTGTAAATGTGGACTACTCTGGAATGGGATTGTGTGTGTGTGTGTGTGTGTGTGTGAGAGAGAGAGAGAGAGAGAGAGAGAGAGAGAGAGAGAGAGAGAGGAGAGATGAGAGAGGAGAGAGAATTCTTTCATGGGTCCTGAACATTGAGGAAGGCAGCAGCCTGTTTATAGACAGGAGTCAAAGGCACCTCTTCTCTAGAAAAGATAGGATGGTGCTCCAGTTCAGAACAAACACAGTGGTGAGGGTTGCTTTCCTGTGATGGTGAGGGTTACTTTCTAATAGGTCAGTGGAGAGGCATAACTTGTGCCCAAACCCAGAATCTGTATGTAGATTGAGAATAAAGCTTTCTTTTGAATACTTTGTCAGCACAAAAGCCTTTTATTCAACTACCAGCGCTTCAGATCATAAGGCGGTAGGGTGAGGTTGACCTGGCGGGGGCCTCGGTGGTGAGAACTTTGCCCCTGTGTTCACCACTGCCCGTGTGTGTGGAGAGGACTCTGACTCCCCCTCCAGAGGCCATGGGGGCTGCTCAGCATCATTCCGTGTTGCACCAACACCACACCTATGGTGGGAGACTGTTCTCTGGGCACAGCATGACCTTCACTCGGGAAAGGGAAAGGTCTTCCCACATTTCACCGGGCAGTGACTAAGCCAAACCCCCACGAGGTGATGGTGAATTCTGGAAGGAAGTGCTTTGCCTGGATTGTCATCAATTTTCCCCTGTGGTTGGTTCCTCTTTCCCCAAAGCAGCCAGGCTGCTGAAGAAGTGTGGTCAGGCATCAGTGGCCACGAGGCGGAGCGGGAAGGTGGACACCCTGCGAGATGGTCCTCTGGGAACTGAGCATAGCCCGTTGTGATGAGGGGAAAGATGTGGGGTACCTGCCATGGCTGGACGGGCACTGCCACACTTAGCTGTAGGGCCCGTAAGACCTCAGGCTTAAGACTTGGAACATAGGGAGAAATTTCAGCCCTGAACCTCAGATTTGTTCCTGGTGTGGGCTTTAGTCTCTGTGGTCCAAGGCATTTCTTCTTGGTACTTTGTTGAGAAACCACTTGGACAATAGCCAGTGGCTGACAAAGGGGTCAGCGTCACCTGGGTTTTGCAGCCCCAGCTCTGTGTCCACCAGCTGAGTGGTTTGGGACAAGTGACCTGTCTCTCTAGCCTTAGGCTCTGCAATCTGTTCTCCAATTTGTCTTGAGCAAATTCCCTTCCTCCTCTTACCCTCTTTCACTTTTTACCTAGAAATACCTATCATGAAGGTTATTGTACGAATAGATATTAAAGGCAGAGGGCTCTAAGTCTGTGCTAGCTGCCAGCGAGGCCTGTGGTGAAGATGGTATGACTTTCAAAGCACTGGCCATCTTCCGATTGTGATAAAAGGAAAATTGTCTCAGAACCCATGCATGCCAAGCATTGGCCCTATATTAAGAAAGTGGGGATAGTGGGTGAAAGTTTTATTCAGAGTTTGGAGCTTAAGACCTGCTAACTTAGAGGGCTATTTACAGAACCTGCTCTGGCTCCCCTGGATGCCTAATATCACTAAGCTACCATTTATCGTGCTCCTGTGTTTTGTGAATACAGGCATCAAGTTGGCAGTGGAGATGGCTTGTTTCTGCTTTACAGAGTCTGGAGCCTCTGCTGGAAGGCGTGAGGGCTGAGAACTTTCTTATCTGAAGCCTAGATTACTTGAATGTCTGGTGGGAGACACTGGTTCTTTGCAGGGGGCCTCTGTTCCTCTCCACATGGGCTAGCTTGGGCTTCCTCGCAGCATGGCGGTTGGCTTTCTCAGACTGAATATCTCGGAAAGAGAGAGGTTGCTTTCCTTCAGTGACCCAGCCTGAGAAGTCACATAGCATCATTTCTACCTTATTTCAATGGTGGAAGCAACCACCAGCCTCCACCTGTTTTCAGAAGGAGGAAACAGATAGTCAGCCTCTCAGTATAAAGAGGGTCAGTAACCAGGGCACATGAAATGATAGATCTCCATGGGACCCTCTTTGGAAAGTGCGGTCTGCCACTGAGTCTAACAATGTGGGAGTCTGTATTTGGAGCACTTACAAGAAGAAATTTAAGACACTGTCCTTGCTACAAGGTGCTTACTAATTGGGGGTGAACAATAGGTATGTGTTAAGACTCAAGAATAGACACATACCTTATAGAAGGGAGTAAATGATCAAGGAAGGTTTCTTAAAGAAAATGAATCTTAAACTGTCATCCTTCCTCTACAGTGGGAAAGAGGGAGGGAGGCCCAGCAGACTCAGGAGATGTTCCTGGCAGGATGATGTTCATGTCCCTTAGAACACATAGTCTTTAAATTACTATTCAGCATCTATTTGGAAGCAAGGCTCAGTGTGAGGAAGGTTTGGAGATGTGAGATAGATCCTGGCCGCTTTATACTTCTCTGTAGTCCTAGTGGCTCTGTCTTGACTGCAAACTTACAAACTGTTCTTCAAAACAGAAGCCCTGCAGAGAACAAGACAGTATCTGAGAAATAAGCTCAGCAACTTTCACCCACATATCATAGCAACAAGCTCCTGCCAGCCACTTCTGAGCTTGTACCCGGAGCTCTCCTAGGAAAGGTGGCTTTGCCTTGAGCTGTGTCTGTAGGGACGTTGCCTCCGGGAGGTCCTGTCCCATGTGTTGGCTCAGGGGTGTTGAATGCACAAGAAGGGTTCTGGATATTTACATAAATGCAGCAAACCCATCCAAACAAAACTCTAACAAAGTTGGAAAACCTACAGTTGAAAGTAATGAAAATGAATATTATGGTTTAGATCTAAAATGTCCCCCCAAAATCTCATGTTCAGAGTCGGGGACTGTTTGGAAGGGGCAGGTCTCTAACGGTGTGACTTGGAAAGGAGTATTCTCCTCCTCAGCTCCTCCTTTCTCTCTCTGCATCCTGACCACCAGCCAGTAAACAGCTTTCCTCTACCCTAGGTTTCTGCCTTGGAGCCAGCTGAACCCACTAAAACCGTAAGCCAGAATAAACCTCTCCTTCTTTAAGCTGTGGGTATTAAATATTTTGTCCAAGTGACTGGAAAGTGACTAAGACACTGAGAAAGAGGAATGAAGACATCTGCTGAGACTCCCTTTGAAGCCTCAAACTCCTTTGCCACTAACCTTGGAAGCTGAGGATCTGGGAGCCAGTGGTGGTCTAAAGAAGCAGCAGTCGTAGAAGACTGCCGACAGCAGCTGTCACCTACATAAGGCTCTTTAGACTACAGGTGCAGAGAAAATGATTGGAAACTGCAGTAACTCAGAGCCCTTGACCTGACTGTGAAGTGACACCTTCAATGTTGTGGAAATACAGAAGACATCATCAAACGGTTGTATTTTCCAAAAATTATTCCTGAAATAGAATGAATTCTTATTTTAAAATTCTAAGAAGTACTCTTGC